ATGCGCATTGTTGAAAACCCAACAAAGGGATCTATTTAAAAAAAAGTTAACGCATATATTTACAATGGGCTTAATGTCGCTTCTACCTTCTTCAGGTTCAATGTCCTCGTTTACATCGTCCTCATCAGATTCTTGGCCTAAATCTTCTTCGCCACTTTCATTCTCGGTGTCATCGTTGTCTGGTTTGACGCAACTGCAAATGGGGTAGTGGCTGCTATAATAATTGTGTTTAATTAAAGAACTCGTTAAAAACTATGCTTATGTTTATGAAATAAAAAATAAGATCGTTTACCATAAGTGTTGCTGGAATCAACTTCCATGTCACCTAACAAAATAAAAAAAAAGAAAGGGTTTAATTTAGGTGAATGCGTCAAAATAGTTCCGAGACCCATACTTGCAAGAATTAAAGCTGCACGTTTATCAGCTTTAGTATGGTTCAAAAGAGTGTTACGTGTAACTGTTTTGTAGCCATTGGGGCCTTTTCTGCATTCTGAGCATTTGCAATCGCGGTAAGCACTCGTGTTTTTAATAGGTCCCATTGTTTAGTTTGTTAATAATAATTTATAAAAAAATGATTTATAAAAAAATGATTTATAAAAAGATGGTTTATAAAAAAAAAAGAAGCGAAAAAGGGGAAAAGAAAACAATGGCCCAGAAAGGTTAATAGTATCAGCGGAGTTGAAAGTACCCCACAATTTCAGCGCAATTTTTATGCGCGGGAAGGAGACTCTCTTAAAAAAAGAAATAAGCGGTGTAATTTTAAAACAGCCATATCTCAATAGAATCTTAACCAAAAAATATAAAATTACTATAGAACGGTAGGCAGAAAAATAAGGAATCATATTTAATAAAGAAAGTCTGGGCTCATTTTTCAGGAAATTGAGATTTCGTGCTTTAAGATGCAAACCCTTCATAAAAGGCTTATAAATAGCTTTCTTGTAATTTAGGGTGGTATGGTAAGTTTGTTAGATTTATATCTTTCGGATAAAAAGGTATGATTTTATTTTACATGCTTGTAAGAGTCTTCTAAAGTCAAATAATTTCAGCCAATCAGAGAACTGAAACGTGACTATTCACGTGAATATCACGTGAGGGCACGTGATTTGGCTTTTTCAAAAACTTTTTAGAGCTTAAAAAAAAAAAAAAAAAATTAAAAAAAAAATCCATAGAAGCATGAAAGATAAATATATCAAACTAGTCCTGATCTTCTCCAAAGTAGGAGTGGAAAAAAAGTATATAAGAAGGCGGATTTGCAACGCGCAATAAAACTATCTACTCTTCTTCTTCGATAGTATAGTGGTGAGTATCCCCGCCTGTCACGCGGGAGACCTGGGTTCAATTCCCAGTCGGAGAGTTTTTTTTTACATTTTTCTTGTCGGGTCTGTGTCGGAGTACAAACCATTGATACAATGTGAGTGTTAGTGATTGGTTTAGATTGAGTTTTGACAGTAAGGTAGAAGGAGAATAATACACGTTTGTAGTTAATTATTCAGTTCTAAGTGAGCACCACGTTATTTTATATAAATATATAATAATTATATATGGTAACGATCCAGTTAAGTAAAATAAATTAAAAGGTTTTGATAGACAGATACAGAGAAAAAGAGACTAAGGCTTCGGTTTTTCTAGGGAGACAGTAACATAATAGGCCAATTATATATAGAAGATATAATATTTGATAGGCAAGTTTATGATAAAAGTATATAGTAAAATCCTAATGTTTATTGAAATATGTTCTGTTTTAAGGTTAATATAGTTTTTGAGAAATCAAAGGATCGGTAACGATACCCTTGATATCGGATAAATGATAATAATAATAAATTTGTCAAAAGGTTTTAAATATAAAAAAATAAAGATTCAAGTTAGAGAAGTACAATGCTAAAAGTTAGCATGAAAAATATAAATTGTCTGAGTAAAGTTTTTAGTGTTGAAGTCCATTATTACATATTGAAAATCCGCATTGTAACACCATATTAATATATATTTCATAATTCTACAAAACAATAAAGATCATCTTTTATCTACTACTCTACTTTATATATATCCTACATAACTTAAGATCACACCCGACATCTGATATAAGTGTTAAGCTTAGTTATAGATATTTAAGTAGAGTAGTACACCATAGAAGAGGACACTCAGACAAAAAATAAATCATTAAGACTGCTTTTGCCTGCAAATGTTTTGTAATATTAATGATTGTTTAGGCTCCGAGTGTCATAAGTGTCATAAGTGTCGTAAGTCCTGTTAAACTCAACCACACCTTGGAGGACTGCTAATATACAATAAAAAAAAATTTACATGGGAGGGGGGGGGCATACTACAGTATAGCACCTTTTTCTGTTGTTACTATTTTACTATATTGTTATTATAATTCAAATGCCATTGCAAAACTATTCCGAAGAAAGTAGACAACTCATCAGTGATTTTGACGCTCGAATGAGAGACTTGGTTCAAGAGACAGTTGAAAAGTTAATGCTGGCAGAAAACATTTCTAAGGTCGAGGCTGAAGAGGCCATTGAATTTAATCGTGAAGCAACGCAAGTAGTCTTTCGTAAACGTAAAAGCCCTTACAACGCTTTTACAGAAAAGTTGGCAGCAACTAAGAAAATGGATACTACTGCAGATGTTCAATCCGAAGGTATACTAAACTCACCGTAAATGCTAATTATATCTAATTGTTTGTACACTCATAGGCTTAATCGCTTTTCAAAAAAAAATGCGTCTACGCTAAACAAAACATTGAACCCAGCAGAAAAGGCTGCATTGGTAACCGATTATCAACATGTTAGTAAGCTTACTTACGAGAAAAAGCGCCAGCATCATATGGAAGCAGTCTCAGAGATGAAGAAAATAATTCACTCCTACAATGCTCTCTGTGGTTCGGACTTCCTCGTTATCAGTGTATTTCTATTCAACAAAAAATCTGGTAATGTTCGTTTGATTATGCATATGCTAACTGCTGGAGGTAAGTCAAATATATTGGGGAGTGTACAGAAAAAACAGCTTACATTATTTTTAAACAAAAGAGCACTGTCTAAGTCTGAAAGACACGATGGGCAGCGAGTTGTCGGCTTTCTTGAAAAGGAGTAATCATGATGCGAACGAGAGAAGTATGTTTTCGTTTAAATTAGATTACTAAAATTATTACTTACATGTTAAAATAAGTAGCTAAGCCATATAGTCAGAACGGCAATCTCTTGTGAAAAGAGTATAGCCAAAGAATTTTAGAGTTGTATCGTCAGTTTCCCCTACTACACAAGATTGGCACTCTAACTGACATTTTTCATTAGATACTCATCCAAGCGCAACATTTGCTAAAGCATTTCCGTTCCAGAAGTTCAAGGATCAAACTGCTGATCTGAAGATGTTTGGGTGGCACGAAGATGTCGCAGTTAGAAGGGCCCATGAGCAAATATCTGGACAAATGCACCTCGTCCTTGAGGCAATTAAAGAAAATACGATTTCTTTTGCTGTACCAGGTGCAGAAGCAGTTGATACAACTCCGGCTACGCTGGAAGTTTCTTCGCCTGACCTTGCCCATTAACAAAGGTAATTATATCCTTTCTTTTTCCTCGTTTAAATAAATTTAAATACATTTAACACTTGATTTGTTGGGATACTTTTTATTTTGCGTTTTACGTCTTGAATCCCATAAAGAATAAACTGAAATAAAGAATAAACTGAAATAAAGAATAAACTGAAATGAAGAATAAACTGAAATAAAGAATAAACTGAAGTAAAGAATAAACTGAAGTAAAGAATAAACTGAAATAAAGAACAGACTGTGGAAATAAAGAACAAACTGACATAAATTTAAGATTTTATTAATCTTTCCACTTATAATTTTTTTTGTTATAAAACTGCTATGTACAGTAACGTTGCTTTATATGTTGGTTGAGGCTGTGATAGCAGTTTTTTAACGTTTTTCTTTAACAACAATATTTTATTTGACAATATATACGCTATCTTATTGGGTATAATAGTAACCTGTAAAAGCTTTGCAATAGGCTTTAAGTAAACAGTTGAATTTAGACGTTGGAGTAGTCCAGAACTTCTGACAGATATTCATATGCTCGCGAGTATAGCTATTGCTGGAATAAACGGCGCTTAAAGGAGACGTCGAGTTAAAAAAAAAACTTCATGCTCGAAGTATAATTCGTAATTGCATACTTCATGGGTCATGAGTGCGAAAGTTAGAAACTCCCAGTAGCTTGAGTCGCATTGCCAGTTGTTAAGAGTTGGAAGAGACATAATTTGTCTAGACTTTTGAAGTTGTAGTTGCCATTGTTTAAGGCTGGTCTGGTACGATGACACTAAATTACTTTTATCCAAAGACTTCGACTCTTCTATTGCTGAAGTCAAGAACACTGCGCATTTGGGTCTGGTTTTTTCAGCTGTAACTTTTTTATAGTATCTATGATTGGCTTGTTTCCTTCCACCTAATGAAGGTCGCCCAACATTTGCAGGGGGAGAAGTATTGTGAAATTTAAGTGCATGTCTATTTTGGTTAGAGGTCGAAGAAAATTCTCTTGAACAAACAGAACAACGCGACTTGCTTACGCTACAGTTGTATTTATCATCTTTCGTTGTAAGTGAAGTCATTTGGTTAAAGTGCTAATCTTGTCTATTTAATTCATAAAAAAAAGGTGTAAAAAGCAAATAATTTAGTTCTTTTAAATGTTCGTCTATGACTGTACGATACGGTGGAACAGCAATTGACTATCCAATAATTGTGTCTGTTCTTTCATGTCGGGAGAGTCAAAAGATGATTAACTGGGCCACATGTCATGAGTAATATAGCAGCCGATGCTGCATATAATAATTACGCTGTATATTATAACTTAGAGGCGTATGACAAACGTTATGTTTTATACTCGTTTGTAAGTAAAGCTCTCGTAACTATCAAAACTAGATACGCGCAGTATAACCAAAGTCTGCAATTGACACATAAAAGGACTCGTAAGTGGAGGCATACGCTGTGAATTTATTACAATAAAATGATCATGACAATATATTATTACGATAAACATCTCCGAGCAGGCCTATTCTTCTCTACGTGTTCTCATCCGAAATTTCAAATAACAAATATTAACTTACAGTGGCAGAGACAAGGCAACTTGTTGTTCGCGAGATGGGTGAGTTTATATTATACGCATTGTGTGCATTAGCAAAGGCAATACACTATCTAAAACAGTTTGTTAGTTCTAGAGGAATTGTGATTACAATTTGTCAAGACAAAACAGTATACTTACTCCAAAGCTTAAATCGTTAAAACAAAAATATTTTACTACCTAGAGATAACACGACGGGAAGGATATTAAAGCAAAGGCGGTACGTTTGATCGGAACACAGTAGTTACATAATCGGTATGTTAAAACTACTTGTTGCTAGCAAGGTGAGATGCCATGTAAGTTAAAAAGTGTAAGGGAGAAAAAAGTAAACAATCACAGGGTATGGGGCTGTAATCTTTCTAATAGAAAAAAAAATTATCTAATTCTATTGGACCGAACGAATGATTCGATTGCGCAATTTTTCGTCGATTGGATGAAAAAATGTTACTCTTGTATGTCCGAATTGCTTCAAATAATGTAAGCGGTTATCCAAATGCTGTAAGGAGCCAATAATTTTGTTTGAAATAGCGTAAGCGGCTTCCAAGTATAGAGGATTAGCCCTGCAGTAATCATATATCTGTCAAATACACATTGTGCAATAAGCGCCTGAATTGATAAACCACATACGCTACTTCAAGTAAGCTTAAATATCTGATGTGACTTAAAATTTAAGTATATATTTGAACTGTTTCTTGTTGATACAAAAGGAGGAAAGGACACACGACAACGGCCATTTGGGGGTCACAATGATATGGGTTCAAATGCAATGAGAATCAGATAAGTTATGAGCTGGAACTGAACACAATAATATTCTTTTTTATTGTTTACCATACATTATAATTGAATATGTCAAATAATAGTAATAATTCTCAAAACATTACTGGAATTGCCACTAATATCAAAAGGGGGCGCCCAAATGAACAAATAAGTAAAAAGGGACACAATGCTGGTCGTAAGCGTATACAGATCGATAACCAATCCACCTTGTCAAATTTTTTTGCTAAGTCTTCAGACGAAGTCGTACAACCCGAATCATCTACAAGCACCGAACAGGTATGAATCATGCAGATATTATGCTCTCAAATATATTGTTAACATACTCAATTTTAAGTCCCAGTTTGATACAACTGTTATTAAAGACAATGCTATTCCCGTAAACACGGAGGAAGCCGAAGAATAATTTGAAAAAGATTCTGATAGCGAAACATTCGAAGAATTAGATGGGGGCACATTCAACGAAATTGACGAATTTGCGTCTTCACTGCCCTCTGATAGTGAAGTCTCCAAATTGCACGACAATCTTCACCAAAGATTGGGAGAGAACAACAAAAACAAAAGTCACCTTCCTGATGAGTATAAAAGAGGAACTTTTTGGACACAAACACGAAGCCCCTCATTTGCTTTGGCAAACAGTGTAGATCCATCAGAGTTGTATCACCCCAGAACATTTATTTGGTTACCCGGTCACTTGCATGACAATCTGGTGTGTCCCTCCTGTGGATCTAATTTTGAATCTAAAGGATTTGATAAAAAAAAACTAAAGCAAGAAGAATAATTGATATAAAAGAGTATGCAATTATATGCCTTGTTGTCTTTGTTCAACGGCCAAAGATTATTAGATATTTATGCGTAACTTTGGAGAACTAATGCACTTTTTATAGCTGCTTCTACATTATGACGCGACGTTACAGGTGTAAAAATTCCATCAAGCAGCATCATTTCAATGGGTTTAATTCCGGAATAATCAGACAGCTCCCGTTCCGAATTCAACCTGACTTTCCAGCTCTTTTAACACACAAATCTGGAATTTCAAAAGAATTGGTTAAACTAATGCGTCCATTGTTCCAAAACTCTGTAGGTCCCGTGCGAATTTCAAAGATTTTGAGAGAAATGCATGCGGAGCACCATGCTGGTCTCGAGTTACAATATTACGACGCAGCCTTTAATATGAAAAAAAACCCTGGCATAGATTCACTCTTGACGAGGGGTAACGCTGAAAAAATCATGTTTCCAGAGTTCTCTGAATTCTCTGACAAAAGATTGTATAATGGCTATGTTTCTTCTCCAGGCTATTTGAGCTATATATACACGTCGATAATCGAGAAAATGCGGCCGCAATTGGATTGTCATATGACGTCCTTAAATGGTAGCATCCTTAAAGGCGACCATTCATTCAAAGTCACAGGCTATATGGGGGAGCTAAAAGGAGAACCAACCGTCACAGCTTTGTATACTTGTTTAAACGAATACGAAGAAATAATAATGCAGGTTTTGGCTCCTTCTAAGGCACTTTCTCATCTTGCTTCGCCTTTCAATGCCCTTGTAAAATCTTACACTCTTAACGGCTATCAATTACCTTCGCCTTTTTACACGGACAATGTAAACAGTGACCGAGCTTTTTTGGAAGGTGTACTACCAAGCCTGTTAGATAATGTTCGTAAGACAAGTATTCAAAAGCCAGCAAACAGTGAAGAAACCTCAACTCCAGAACACAACTCAGACTTACCCGTTTTGACACCTCCGGATACCTTGAATATATCCGTATCCTTCGTTCCAGAAGACATGGATAAGGCACGTCAAAACATTTTGGACGGCCTAGAAACAAATAATTGTTTAGACGTTGGTTTTGACTGTGAATGGATAGCACAAAACCATGGAGATTTCAATTCCAGATCAAGAGGATCCCAAGCCTCTTTAAATGAAGTATCTTTAATCCAAATTTGCTACAAGGAACAAATTTATTTTTTTCGTACGTTTGAATTTACGGTGGATGACTTTCCTAAAAAATTACAACATCTTTTGGAGTGTGGTGATGTGAAAAAGATTGAAAAAAATGTTTCTGGGGACTTCACACGTTTAAGGAAAGGATATCAGATAAACCCTGAAGGTATGATTGAGCTGGGTACATTTTGCAAGGAAAAAGGAGTCATCGAAAAAAGGTTTTTCTCTTTGGCCAAAACTTGTGCTGTAGTTTTAAAGGCATCATTGCCAAACCAACTGATATCAGGTGTCGAAACTGGAATGCTGATCAGCTTACACAAGATCAAATCAAGTATGCCACATTGGATGCCTATGTAAGCAAGGCTATATTTGAGAGCTTAATTGATTGTCCTTCAGTGTATAAAAACGTCAGCCCATCAACAGCAAAAACCACGCTTGTTTCGCTGTATACAAGTTCGTGCAAGGTCTTTCCATGTGCGTTTGGATATTTAGAGGATTTGCCACATGATTTAAGCGTACTTCATCCTGCAACAAAGACATATCTTGAAAAGAATAGAACTGTTGTAGATGAGAGTCTGCAAGCTCTGGTCAAAATTGTGCAAGTCAAGATACCGGGTACAATAGTTCCAAATTACGAACTCAATCAACAAAGTATGTCTACGTCTCACCAAGCTATGTCAGTATGTTTGCAAGATTTTGGGTCAACCCCATTTCATGTTTTTGTGGATTGGAATTTGTTACGAACTGCTTCGAAACTCCAGTTATCAACCTCCGAAAATGCAGCAACTCACTTGATATCCTTGCCCACTGCAGTCAATGAAACTTCTGCAGGCCAATTGTCAGTACCGTCTCGGGTTTTGAACGATGCATTCCACTTGATGGATATGCTGCCGTTATCGCAAAAACATGGTATGTATAGAGAATTTTACCAACGTTTTAGAGATGCTTTATTTGTTTACGATCCAGTAGACAAAAAAAAATGTCGAAAAATATTTGGAAACTATCAATACTAATTTTAATGCATACATGGCAAGTAATCCAGAATTTATTCTAAAGCGAGTCAAAAGAAGCATTCCTCCACCAAACCAACTACTACCTGTTGTTAAACTTCTCTTTGATCAGTATGGGCCTTTACCATGTGCCAAGACAAGATTCCCGCTCTTCGATAAGGAATCTCTGAGAATATCCAAAAACATTTTAAGATCCATTGAGTTGGGTCATGTTTCTGATCTCATTGATGGCCCGCTAATTTACAGAGAAATTGGTAAAGATAATAATGGCTTAATGAAATATTCATGCTTCAGAGGTACTAGTTCCGTAGAAGGATACCATCAAAACATCATACGGAAATTCTCGTCCATCAACTCTGGTCCTCGTCTTGCCGATTTAGTTCTTGCAGACTTTCGACTATATCATAACATCGAGGTACTTTAATTGATAGATGTAAACCATTTTTTTAATTTATTTGTGTTTAGGCTGGTGCGAGAAATCGAGAAGGTGTGATTCATAAAAGTCATTATAGTCCATGGATTACCCAATGCATAAATATGATGAGATTGGATGTTGGCCACCGTCCCGTTAAGAATTACTCGTTACATCATATCGAAAAACTGCTCGCCGATTTTGTAGGACAATACGTGGAACTTTTGGCATAATAGCACTTAAAGATCCTTTTATTGATGCTTACAACATGCAGTCAGGTGAGAGGGATGAGTTGCCTCAGCAACGACGTTCGACCAATGCGATAAAAACCAAGATTCTCGAGATGAGTTTTTTGCCAATCATAAATTTTGGAAAAGAAGGTTATTCGGCTCGCAAAATTTTGTACCGCTACTTAGCAGAAAGACAACATACACTATATGCAGTAGTACCAATTCATACCAAAGAAGAAGTATTATTGTATAAAACGTTACTGATTGACAAAAAGAAGGAGCTTTTTTTTAATAAATATAGTGCTACTCCAGAATTTGGTCTGCATTTGCTGATGGTAAGGAGATTTACTATAAGACGCCAGAGCACATCAAAATTTACTTCAACAAACGAACTGAGGCCAGTGTTTTTAATGACTCAATTGCGCTCAATCAAAACATCTGGCAAAGTATTAGAAGCGTTTTGGGACGATTAGAAAGAATGCCTGAATCTGTAGCTATGTTGAGGCAACCCAGGCCAGTTAACCATTAGGGAAACTTGCAAGTCGTTGTATCCGGAAGACTAACTGACCAACTGGTAAAGCAGAAAAATTAGGTGCTAGAACCAGCTCTATTGGCTCCTAAATGTTTGCCAGTTTCAACACCGAGTTTATCTCCTCTGCTCTGGCCTCTTGCACCCCCACCATCCATCAGCCCAACAACCGCAAATCCTGTCACTAAAAAACCAAAAAGATTAAACAGGATTTGCTTTGTGTGTGAAGACTCATCTTCTTGCAGTGGTCGATCAAGATCCTAGTACTGCGTCAACAGATGTTGCATATGCCTAAAAGACAACTGTTCTGGGAGATACATAATATAAGTTTGTCAGTTTCAATGAAACAATAAATTTAATGCGAATCCCATCATCAAACATTAAGACCTTTGCTTTAAATAATTTTATTGTAATGACTTCTAAAGAGTACTATTCAAACAAATACAGATTTTTTTTTTAGTGCCACAAGGCACCCAAAAAAAAAAGATTAAATCATTTTTAAAAAATAGTCCCCACTTATGGGTATAAGGCCCCAATTTACACATTCGGAGTATGAATATTACGTTATATGTGTAAATACACACTATTTCCACACTACCGTTTTTGTAAACGCACTTTATGAGAGATTACATCACAATTTCTTACTCTATTTGCCTTTTTCTCTTTTTAAACACTTTTTAACATAAAATGTCTCAAATCCTTTACTTATATGCTACCATACGTACTTACGAGGACTATATCAATACACTTGAAGAAAGACTCAACGAAGAGGACGAATTATTAGCCCGTTTGGAGCATAACGAAACGAATTACGCCTTGCATAATCGACAAAAACTAGATATTTCTACATTGAGCAATGAAGTATGTAAATCTTTGTTTAGATTTACTTTCAGAGAGCTCAAATTAGTATCCAGAGCTTTAGGTTTTCCGGAGAAAGTCTCGTTTAGACAGCACACACGCCAGAAATTTTTGTTGGACCGCCACTATGCATTGGCTATCATGCTTAGACGATTGGCATATCCTTCCGGACTTTTGGATTTGGAGTTCCTGTTTGGGATTAATAAAGCGACTCTCGGCACAGTATTTAATACAATGATTTAAATCCTATATTACAACTACGAAAAAGGGATAACATTTAACGCAAAGCACCTTCACTCGTTTAATCTTCAAAGATTTGCTGAAGCAACAGAACAAAAAGGTATATACATAATTATTGGGTATGGTTTGTAAACAAATTAACATTGATTAAACTTTTGGAACAGGATCCTCCTTTGCAGGTGTCATTGGCTTTGTCGACGGCACCTTAAATGGAGTAGCAAGACCAAGTGAATATCAAGAGATCGTATTTAATGGCCATGTGGTATGTAATCTATGTTAAACAGTAAATACTCTTACTAAAGATGTAAATAGAGATATCACGGCTTAAAGTATCAAATGTGGTGACCTAGCAAGGTTATAGCCATATTAGAGCTAACAAAGGTTTATCCATGCTGATGCCATTTGTGATATAAGCTTAACAATAAATGTCACAGTAAGAACTATAAGGATATTACATCACAAGTCTGATTTAGTACGTCTGAGAAACACTTAAAATTTAGTTTAAAGCAAAGATAGTTAAGAAGACTTAACATTTAATAGAAGAAGACTAAATCAGTGACTATGTAATAATCATATACATTTTTGTTTAATCAATGATAACTTCAAGATAGCGCTAGAGATATGAACACAGCAGACAGTCTTTTATATAAATACTCGTATATTTCACTTATTAATAAAGGACAATTTTATAAACAGTCTCAAACTACTCCCATAGTCTTTTTATAATTTTACTTTACCTTAAAACACAACATCAAGGTATTGTAACTCCCGATGGAATAACAGTAAGTCTAAGCGGACCGTTTGCAGGAGAAATGCACGATCAAGCTGTGATGGTCAGCAGTGGCATAATGGATGATCTTTGTAAATGTTTGGATCCTCGTGAAACAGGAGGGGAACTATACGCAATTTATGGTGATCCAGCATACGTAGAGAGTGATATCCTGATTAAGCCTTTTAGAACTGGCATGTAAACAGATACGATAAGCTATACTCTATCTTGGAATATTCAAAGTTGAAATGTTTACCTTACATTATTAGGTGCGCAGATGCATGAACTTGATAAGGAAGCAAATTATGTACCTTTAATGTATAATGTGGAAGTGGAAATTGTGATAATTGCGAAATAAAAAGGGAAAAGTAATTGGGAAAATAAAGCAAGTAAAGAAATGAGACTCTATAATCCTTTATTATAAGTTGGAGAGTTTGTCATGATAAAAATAGAGGTCCTTTTTATATTCAATTATTACTTCAAGATTTTTCCTGCGCAGATCGAATTGACTATTTACCCGCAAACTGGGAAATGGTAGAATTAGATTTAGAAATCAGTTACATATCAAACATAGCTTATTGTTATATACAAGGAGCTAGTTGACCCATATCCGGCACTTCTAGAGCATTATAGTTTATCCATTCAATGACAGGGTCCTTGATTGGATTACTAAAATAAATTTATGAGAAACTAGAAGATTCGGCAGCTACTCGACCGATCCAGGAACGAATATGAAATCTGATCTCAGTTTGACATATCAGGGAGCTGGTACTGTGTCGTACCAATAGGAATGTATTCGCAATATGGTACTTATAATACATAGGTTATATGTATTAGAATTGAGTGACAAGATAAGAGTAATTGTATTCGTGGAATTAGGCGTCAAATACGACAATAACAATATTTTTATAAATGAAAGAAGTGTGCCAAAAAAATTACAATAATGTGCCATCATTAATTTCTTTTTGTGCCAGCTAGTTTTGGATTAGCGTGCCAAAAAAAACCAAAAAAAAGTGTGCCAATTATTTCCACAAAAGGTGTATCACTTATCTTTAGATCAGACTCTGATGTCAGATATAATTTTAGATTAAGCTATGTACAGCTTGAATTTAGATATAACCATTTCACAAAACTATAATTCAATGAAGATCATCTTTGCTTTACTAAACTTAACTTTACATAAGCACATTTATTAAAATCCTTCTGATGTCGGGTCTGATCTTATATTATGTAATATATATGCGAGAATAAAGTGGAAGATAAAAGATGATGTTTATTGTAAAGTATAATTAAGAAATATATATCTAAATGTTTTGTACTCCGACACGGACACTGACATAACAATAACAATAATTCCTCGACACAAGCGTATGTCAGATCAATCATTCAATAAAACGATAACTCTTTTACTACTCTACTTAAATATCTATAACTAAGCGTAACACTTATATCAGACCCGACATTTGGTAGCACCAGATTCTTTTTATTTTTATTTTATTGTATACCTTTGTATACAGGATTTATGGATAGACAGAAATTTTTAAATCAATTTGAAATCGAAGAACGGATTGAATCAGGATTAGATATTGATAAACGTGCTGGTTATAACAAATTAAGAATAACTCGCAAAGAAGACATATTACCAGGAGAAAGACTTAAATCAACGACCGCAAGAGAATTACATTGGAATACGTTAGCAAGAACCCTAATTGAAAAATTTAATTCGGATATAACAAGTAACAACGATAACAACATGAACGATATAGACATGAATAATAACAGCAACAATATCGATATGAATAATTTGACTGCGGCCTTAAAAGAAATTGTCAATTTAGTCCAAACTAACAACAACAACAACAATGATCAAGACTTGGATCTAATCAACAAGCCAACTAAATACAACGGTACTCGAGATCCTTTTGTAATTGATAACTGGATTCGCTCTATTGAGGATTATCAAGATTACAAGGACTGGAATGGTACCCAAACATTCAAATTTGCCAAAACCTTAATTTCTGAAATGGCATCCGTTTGGTTCAGAAATTTAGAAGCCTCTGAGTCCGCTCCCAATAACTGGTCGTCCCTGAAATCCAGAATTCTGGTATGTTTCAAACCTCTTAATTCAGCACAGATTTTTCGAGATAAACTGGAAGAATTACAACAGCGCACGAACATCTCCAGTTACATTCAAGACTTTATGAATCTGAAAGTAGGAATTCCCAGAATGACTGATGATGAAGCTGTTGCAAAATTTATCCGTGGTTTGAAAAATAAAGACGCCCGTATCCAATTACGAAGTCTCTACCGTGGTGACTTATGTCCATCGATGGACGAGGTAATTCAATCGGCGTACACGTTTGAATCGGCCCGTAATGAACATGGAAATCTACCATCGATTCCTTCTTTTGCATCCGATTCGTCGATGCCTGAACCTATGGATCTTTCGGTCACGATTGCCCGGGAAGTTTTGAATTATGTTAACAACAATGGTGGACGTGGTGGTTTTCGTGGTTCTCGAGGTGGTTATCGTGGTTCTCGTGGTGGCTCTTTTGGCTCTTCTCGTGGTGGTTCTTTTGGTCCCTCTCGTGGCGGTAGTTCTTTTGGTTCCTCTCGTGGTGGTTTTCGTGGTGGTTTTCGTGGTGGTTTTCGCGGTGGTTTCCGAGGTGGTGAAAGCCGATCTTGTTACAACTGTGGCATGGTGGGCCATCTTCAATATAATTGTCGACGAGGTAATGCCGAATTGCACTATATGCATGAATCGAACGATCAGTACTATGAATACGATGGATATTACCCACAGAATGATTATTATCCCCCTCAAGAACAAAACTATCAACCAGGCCCCGCTCCAATTCAAGGAAATCCTCCTGCCAATAATAGTTTAAATAATCATAGTAATAAAGATTCTTCTGCCCAATATTCGAATGATGATTTATTATTATATTCTGTGTTACCGTCCTCTGCTTCTTTTGTCAAGCCATTGAATGTTAACCAGGCAATCATACAAAAAGATATTGATTTCTTGCTCCATGCTGAAAATGTACAAAACAAATTGCCGCTTTATCGGATTCTCGTCAATGGTCACCCATGCATTGTTTTAATTGATTCAGGTGCAAGTGCCAATTATATC